TTCATTTCTCATAGCCCTCGGCTTTTATTATTTTTTTGAAAAATAGATTCTAGAAAACAATAGACTCTTTTGGATTCTTCTTTCTGTAAAGAGAAATTGGCAAATAGCTAAGAAAAAAAAAAGGTAGAATTTCGTAATGCTCATTAGTGACCATACACACGAAAATAGATCGATTCGCCCACGCAGACGAGATTACGAAAGGCGAGGCCCTCTCTCTCTCTCTCTGTTTCTCTCTCTAATCCTCCACCCCTCGTGGGCCAACGTATTGATCTACCATTCGCCGCCTATTTCAAAAAAAAAAAAAGAGAGATTTTTTTACCATAGAAATGTTTTTTTCCCTCAAAAAAGTAATGAATGAGAAATTGGATAGAGACGAAGATACAGGTCTGACCTAGAGACGGTGAGGAGACTCCCTTTGGTTTATGTGGAGAGACCCCCATGTTAATGCCTTCTCATAAACCAAACTGAAACCGAGGCAGGTTGGAGAGAGAGAGAAGAGAGTTTTGTATATAATGTTCCCGGAGGCCGGGAGCGAGTCTGCCCGAGTAAAATTCCTCGACGAGAACGGAAAAGGTGGTGGTGGGGTAATACGGTTCGTGGACTGGGTTCGCTCGCCAGCATATATCCACTTGGCTCCTTTTCTTCCCCCCCCTCTCTCTCTATCTCTCTCTCTCTAAAAACCCCTGGCTCCCCACCAATAATCCCTCCCCCCATTGGTACACCTCTCCCCCACTAGAATTGTGTTTGAAACGCGTGCGTGAACATTTTAATAGAGGAAAGGGCGTTCACGGTATCTTTCTCTCCCACTCCTCTTATTTTTCTATACAAGAGGGGAAATTGCCCGCTGAGGTCAAAGCAAGCTGCGCAGTTTGCTGAACACTCGTCTTCTGGTAACATCTGATAAAAATTTCTTTAAATAATTTCTCTATGTCTAGTTTTAAAAAGGGATTTTCGACAATGTCACTCGACACTATTGCAAAAATTTTGAGAAAACACAAAAATTTCCTTTCACGTTAACACGCTGACAAAAAATTGATCTAAATCCTAAAATGCTCGATGAAGAAACTATCCGTGACTTCTTTTTGTTGGTACAGCAAAAAAAAATTACAAAATACGTAAGAGAAACAAGAAGACGTGTATTACTCGCGCGAACTGAGATGAGCGACTCTCCGGGAGAGGCTCAAAATCCCCAGATGTTTCGCGTCTGCGTATATTCTACCCACAATTCCTCTTGACCAATCTCGTTTCACTGATGATTTCCCCTGATGTCGTTTTCCCTCCACCCCTCATTCCTCTTTCTCCTTGATCAAGTGGTACAAAATCTAACCCTCTCTCGATTACTTTAGTTGTTGGGGTGGGGGGATTGGTCCGCTCCATTCTAAAGCGGAGGGTCCTTACGTATCCGTATATATCACCTCCTTTCCCCATTTCTCATGCTGCTTCAACTTGATTCGGCCCAGCCAAGCGAGAGGCCAAGAGCCTTCATGGCCTCTCTTTCTCTGCAAAAACATCCGCGAATTCAAATAAATGGGAGAGAATTTTTTTTTTTCATTTTATCTCAGATTTTTGGAATAATAACAGATTGATAATCTGCGCCATAGAGATGAATTTTTTGTAAACAAGATGGTGAACTAAATTTCAGATCTCTTGGTGAAAATTGCTCAAAATAGATGGTTTTGTAAGATAATCTTTGGATAAATAAGTATTAGTTGATGTTACAAAAAAAAAAAAGATGCGGGGGCATGTTTGGAAAAGTGGTTTTCAAAGGCAGAGAATGATCCATAGGTGAAGGTTGATATTTGAGATAAGAAATGATTTAGTAATGAAGGTTAATATACGGATAAGAAATGATTTATTGATGATGGTTGAGATTTAGATGAAGGGCAATCTATAAATAGAGTGATATTTCGACGATTTTGTTTGTTAGAGATTTTTATCTTGATATCCTCTTTTGTTCAGATGATTCTTAAATATTGTTCTACTGGGAACTAATGCCTTTTAGTATTAGGTACAAGTTAGGGAATTTTAATTCTGATTTTGGTTTCAAAATTAGGTAAAAATTAGAAAATTCTGATTTTGGTTTCAAAATTAGGTAAAAGTTAGGGAATGTTAATTCTGATTTTGGTTTCAAAATTAGGTAAAAATTAGCGAATTTTGATTCTGATTTTTGGTTCGTTTGGTTAAAAATCTACAAACAATGGTTAATAATCAGAATTATCTTTTGTCTATATCTGTAACCTTAATCTACAGATAAAGGTTGATCTATAGAAATTAATTGTTTGTTTCTTGTTTGTAAGAAATAAATTATTTTAAAGAATTTACAAATCCATCGCGAATTTTCTCGATTTTCTCATCTTCCATTGATCTCAATTTTTCAGAATAATTGTTTACTTATGTATCTTAAGTGAAAATTATAGCGTTGCCGTTATATATTTTCAGATTGGCATTCCTTTTGCAAAATATCAAACCTTGAAATCAAGGTTTTGACCAACTCGTCTTATCTTGTCATTTATTTATTTCTTTCTTTTGTTCACCTTTGATAAACATTATCAGTACAATAAAAATTAAATATCTAATGTTATCATATTAATAATATAATAATTGTTTAGTTAAAAATTGATATTTAATTTTTCAAACAATTGTGTTTTGTTTATTTTTTTGTGCATGTTGAAAACAGATTTTTAGATTGAGGAATTAGAGAGGAAAAATTATGATGCAACCAAATTAGCTTAATTATAAAGTTTGTAAAATTAAAATCTCATTTTTGTGGGAATCAGTTTCTGAGAAGGATGCTAATTACAAGGATTTTAATTGTATTTTTTTTTTTTTTTTTTTATAAACAAGTTTTGAAACAGGATATTAATTTTTGATAATTGCACAAAAATTATCAGAAATTGAATTTTATAATTAAAATTTTGTGATCAATTCTTGTTATACTTAAATTAGACAATTCACTTATTTTATACTCTCATCATCTCTACTAATTATTTCCTGTCGTTTCTAAAACAGTCACTTCGACTTGTAAAATCTAATAACATTATATTTGAAACTAGTTTTTGATTTTGTTATAGAGTCTTGGTTTGAAGATTGTCAGCAGAAATTAAGTTCAATGATCTCGTGTGCAACTTTACAATTCTGTCAACAATTATTTCAATTTCAAAATCACTTAACTGTAATTATATTTTGTATCTAATTCTTAAAATTATTATTATTATTGATAACAAATTAAAAAGTATCTATGAGAAAATACAAAGAAAATATATTAAAAAAAAAAAAAACAAACTTATAATAATAATTGTTAGAGAAAAAAAAATATAGAACATACTTCTTGGAAACATGATACTTGAAAAGTTATATTTAACAAAAAGACAATAAAATCAATTCTGTAAAGTACTTTTTCATCTTTAGTGAGCGTATATAGACAATTGGTTAATAATTGATCGACGTCCCGTTTCTTTGTATATTATATATATATATATTGTATATCTCAGGGAAATTATAGATAATTGAAAATTGAAGACTGTTTTTAGTGAGCGCAGCACCTTCTTGAAAAAAAGACACTGATATCACTCTTTTTTTAGAAATTGCGCATCACTACAATTATACTGACATGATTAAATATATTTCTTCCTCGTCATACGTAGATGATTCACAAATTTGTTTGCATAACTTAAAAAACAAACACATCAGTTCAGGTTATTATGTAATTCACAATAATTTGCAGTAGAATGTTTGTTTTACTAAACAATTCATAGAAGTGTTGTAAGAAAAATTGTGTAAAAGAAATATTTATATATTTTTATCAATTTATTGTGATACCAATCTATTTTGGTACCCATCTATCTTGGTACCATTAATTAATGTACCATTTATTTTTGTACCAATTAATTATGGTACCATTAATAAAAGTAACATCTACTTTGGTACCAATTAACTAAAGTATCATCTACTTTGTTACCAATTAATTACGGTACTATCTACTTTGCTATAAACTAATTATGGTACTTACTTTGGTATCAATTAATTATGGTATCATCTACTTTGGTACCTATTAATTACAGTACCATTAACTTTGGTACCAATTAATTATAGTACCATTAACTAAAGTAACATTTATATTGGTACCAATTAATTATGGTACCATTAGTTAAAGTACCATCTACTTTGGTACCAATTAATTATAGTACCATTAACTAAAGTAACATTTATATTGGTACCAATTAATTATGGTACCATTAGTTAAAGTACCATCTACTTTGGTACCAATTAATTATAGTACCATTAACTAAAGTAACATTTATATTGGTACCAATTAATTATGGTACCATTAGTTAAAGTACCATCTACTTTGGTACCAATTAATTATGGTACCATTAATTAAAGTACCATTAACTAAAGTACCATCTAATTAAAGTAACATCTACTTTGGTACCAATTAATTATAATACCATTACTTAAAGTACCATCTACTTTGGTACCGATTAATTATGGTACCATTACTTAAAGTACCATTTATATTGGTAACAATTAATTATGGTACCATTAATTAAAGTACCATTAACTAAAGTACCATCTAATTAAAGAAACATCTACTTTGGTACCAACTGATTATGGTACCATCTACTTTGGAACCAATTAATTATAATACCATTACTTAAAGTACCATCTACTTTGTTACCAATTAATTATGGTAGCATAACTTAAAGTACCATTTATATTGGTACCAATTAATTATGGTAGCATTAACTGAAGTACCGTTTACTTTGGTACCAATTAATTATGGTACCATTAATTAAAGTACCATCTTCTTTTGTACCAATTAATTATGGTACTTTCTAGATTATTTTAGAATAAAAAGAAATTGGAGTAAAAATGGTCATGTTTTATTATTATTGTTGTTATTATTATTAATTACATGAATAAGAAATGTTTATTATTATTATTATCATTTTTAAAGTAGTAATTAATAAAAATTTAAAAAAAATTATTTTTTTTTGCAGGTATGGACGCGTGCAGAGCGTCAAACTGCTGCCACGGGGCGAGGAATGCCCCGTGGACGGTGGTTCCCTCGGTGAGGGAAACGAGGGTGGTTCCGGAACTGGAGGTGGCGGTGGAGGCGGCGGCAGTGGCACGAATAGTACCGGGGGCGCATCAGCGACGGTGGCGTTCATGGATATCAAGTCCGCAGCGAAGGCCCACGCGACAGAACACACCCTGGACGAAAGAGCCCTCACCACCCAATACTATGAACCTCAGCATCTCCAGCACAGATTTCCCTCACATGGGTAAGAAAATTAAAAAAAATTTCATACCCCTTTTTCCCTCTCTCTCTCTCTCTTTCTTTTTCTATTTTCTCTGTTGCTACCGTCACAAGAATTCATAAAAATTGTTTTTTAACAAATTTAATTTGTAATTAAAATAATATAATAATAATATTTCATACAGTGGAACCTCGATTATCCGAACTAATCTAGGCAAGGCCGGATTCGGATAATAGAGATTTTAATTTTTTTTATAATTAAAGTAAAAAAATGTACAGTTGAACTATATATTTAAATTAATACATATGTTTTTAAATATACATAAGTATATACATATATGTAATTATATATTAATTAATAATATATTAAAAACTCAGAAAATTCGGAAATTTTTAAGATTTTTTTTGGCATAAATTTGGTTATTTTGCTTTGAATGATAAAATAAATAGAGAAAATAAAATTTAAAATTCGGGAGACCAAAAAATAGTTCGGATAATAGAAGTTCGGATAAAATGTTTTTCGATTCGGATAATAGAGGGTTCGAATAATAGAGGTTCGGATAATCGAGGTTCCACTGTATTATATTATTGTAAACAAATAAATATATTATATATATTTAAAAATATTTAGAAATTTTTTTTTTTTTAAATGAAAAACAGTAAAGATTGAATGTAAAAAATACATAGGGTCCCGGAGACCGTGTATGGGGTTTGTGTACCAAAAATTGAACTCTAAGAGTATTTTTTTAAGCTAGCTTTCTATTTAGGTTTTTCTTTAAATAAATATTGTTTTTTTTTCTGCAATTGTTTTTCATATTCAATATATTGATTATTAAACATCTTGTAACTGTAGTAACCCTAATTTCTCTCTTTTTCACAATTTTCTTTTTTTTTCTCTCTCTTTTTTTTATATTATACTTTTTTTTGTCTTCTTTTTCTTTTTTTCTCTCTCTTTACTTTTGGTATTCTGTTTGGACGAAAAGAAACGTTTGAACGCTTGGTTGAATCGATTCACGTGATTAATTTCCCCGGTGAATTCCCAGATTCGAAAACTTTTCCTGAGCTCACGAAAAACATATTATCGTGGCCATATATTATCGTGGATGCACGATGAATCAGCGTAGCGCGAATTATTTCTTCACGATTTGGAATTTTTTTATATATATATATATATAAGAAAACGTTTGTTTATTTAGGGTAGATAAAAAAATGAAATTTGATAGGTAGAAATGTTATTAAATTTTAGTATCTCTTTTTTCTTTATTATTATTATTGTCATTTGCGATGTTGAATTTTATAAATACAGAATTCGTTACGGTCTGCAAATATTTTTCTATTGCCTTTTTTACTCTCTTGAAATTCCTTTCTTAATTAACTTTTGTCATTTCCTTCAGACAAACATGAGAAACTCTTTAATTAAATAATTTTAAATAAATAATTTAAAAAAAAAAAAAATGTGAAAGTGTAAACGATGTGAAAATCCAGGGATATAAAAAGTGTTTTTTTTTTAAATTAAAAATAAAGAAAAAAAAATTTGAAGAAGAAAATTTGTGCAGTGAGTGATTTTGGATTACCACACCATTTTGGATTTTATATGGATGCAGTGTTGGAATACAGTGATTCAGGAGGATTATCAGTGTGAAAGAATAATAATTTTTTAAATAATAGTAATTTTAAACCTACGGCCTAAAAAACAAAGAGTTTCTCATGAACCAAAAAAATTGAGGAAATATGTCAAGAACACTGGATTGGCAGGGGTAAGTAAAAAAAAAAGCCCCCTTTCCTTTGTTCCTGTTTTTTTTTTTTATCTCTTTTTGAAAAAAAAAAATTCTTTCTGCAGACCGTACGATTATGTTGTTATTTTGACGCGTTGTAGCGTAAATTCTCGGTGAGAATTGTGTATATAAAAATTTATATATATCATTGTTATTGAAAAACAAAAAATTCCTAGATACAAAACAGAAATAGTTATAATTCTGCTTTTCCTTGTTGTGACAGTACTATATCATCAACAAGTTGAATATAGTGATAACGCGTTATCGTTTCGACATTCGTCAAAGTCGTTGGGATTATAAATTGAAAAGTCAAAACTTTTTTTTTTTTTTTTTTTTTTTATATAACAATTTCATGTTTTTGAAAATACTTTTTTCGAATGATAAAATATTTTTTCACCCATTTTTATATTAGCCAGTGATAATTGTATAAAAAAAAATATTAATAAATATTTCTCATATTTATATAAAGAAAAAATATTTCTAAATATATAATAATAAATAAATGTTAAATAAGAATATTTAAAACATTTATAAAAAAAAAAAAAATTAAAAATATCTCTAAAATTTTAATGAATGAAATTGAAAATGTGTCCCCAAGTTGATAAAATCATTAATTAAGAAACACTTTTTTTTTATTAACATATTTATCAGTCTTTTTTTAAAAAAAAAAAAAAAAGATTTTTCCTCAAGATTAAAAATATTATTAATTATCATATCTTATAATATAAAAAATATTCTATACAATAGAGAAATTGTGTATTATATATTTTATAAAAATATAATTGAAAAGCGTAATTCAGTTAATATATTCTCTATTTGAGATTGAAAATTTTTTTTTTACTTATTTATATTTTTAAAATATTAATGAGGGGAGGGGGGAATGTTAAATGTCTATATTCTTTGTTACAAATAATATTTTTTTTCTCGTATATAAATATTAATAGACAATTAATTTTTGTTGGTATTTTTAAAAAAAAGTAAATTTTTCAAACACAACCTTGACCATATCGAGATTCACAAACATTTCACTAATTCACAAGCCATCGATTTAATCTAATCTAAAATTCTAAATGATTTGTTTGTCGAATAAAATTTCCACGTTTAGTAAAAAAAAAAATTATTTTAGTAAATATATATTTATAAATAATAATTTATTTCAAAGTACGATTTTTACAAAAAAAAATTTAAAAAAAAAAATAAAGATTACAAGGATAGATGGGAAAATTAAAGTCGATATTTTCTGTCGATCAACTTGAGGAACTTGATCGACTTGAAAACGAGTATTAACTTACATATACGTATAAATTTATGTATCTATATATAATTTGTCGTGGTTTGTCCGATCGCAGATTAAAGTGTATGTACATGCGTGGAGTTCCACGAAAAAGTCAGGTGACCATGACGAGTCGACGACGTGTCTCAGCCACTATAATAATACGCAAAACGTTATTTTAAATTTAAATATATATTTAACCAAATTTTTTTTATCCGAATTTATACGTATCCGAATTTTCATTTAACCAAATTTCTGTGAATCCGAATTTTTATTTAACCAAATTTTTATTGATACGAACTTTTATTTAGCCAAATTTATATTGATACGAACTTTTATTTAGCCAAAGTTTCATTTAACCAAATTTATATGTACCCAAATTTATATTTAACCAAACTTCTATGAATCCGAATTTTCATTTAACCAAATTTGTATGTACCCGAATTTTTGTTTAACCAAATTTATATTGAAACGAACTTTCTTTTAACCAAATTTGTATGTACCCGAATTTTTGTTTAACCAAATTTATATTGATACGAACTTTTATTTAGCCAAAGTTTCATTTAACCAAATTTATATTTAACCAAACTTCTATAAATCCGAATTTTCATTTAACCAAATTTGTATGCACCCGAATTTTTGTTTAACCAAATTTATATTGATACGAACTTTCTTTTAGCCAAAGTTTCATTTAACCAAATTTGTATGTGCCCGAATTTTTATTTAACCAAATTTATAATAATACGAACTTTTATTTATCAAAAATTTCATTTAACCAAATTTCTATGAATCCGAATTTTCATTTAACCAAATTTATATTGATACGAACTTTTATTTAGCCAATATTTCATTTAGCCAAATTTGTATGTACCCAAATTTTTATTTAACCAAATTTATATTGATACGAACCTGTATTTAGCCAAAGTTTCATTTAACCAAATTTGTATGTACCCAAATTTATATTTAACTAAATTTCTATTTATTTTTTATAAAATGACCCTGCGACCGATTTTTACACATGCGCATTTATTATCTTCGTCGAGTACCTCACGTGTTTTAGCTTACACGCATATATATATGATAACATTTATCACTTCTCGACCGGATAATATACATATATATATATATGTTTGTATTATATACAATATAACTGTACAACTTGAAAATGACTATTTTTTTCCCTTTATTTTTCTTAATGAAGAATTTCGTATTTAACCTTGACATTTTTTTTCCTAGCATATCAGAGTATTTTTTTTATTTTTTTTATTTACAATTGTAATTATGTCAGTATCGTAGTTTTTTTATTATTATTAAATAAAAGAACAACATATTTAAACTTTGGCTAAAAGAAAAATAAAAATTCGGATTAATAGAAATTTATTTAAACATAAATTCGGGTATACATACAAATTTGGTAAAATGAAACTTTGGTTAAATAAAAGTTGATATCAATAAAAATTTGGTTAAATGAAAATTCGGATAAATATAAATTCGGGTACATAAAAATTTGGTTAAATGTAACTTTGGCTAAGTAAAAATTCGTATAGATACAAATTTGGTTAAATGAAAATTCGGATAAATATAAATTTGGATTCATAGAAATTTGGTTAAATAGAGAATCGGTTAAATGGAAATACGGTTAAATAGAAATTGCTGATTAATAGAAATTTGGTTAAATGAAACTTGGGCTAAATAAAAGTTCATATCATTATAAATTCGGTTAAATTTTAAATGGTAATTGTGTTAAATATATTCGGTTAAATATGAAAAAGGTAATAAAATTGAAACTTAATTTTGAAAAAAATAATTACAATTTTTGAATTTAATTTTATATTAATTGAATTTTATATTATTAATTAATTAATAATTTTATATTAATTTATAACACACATAATTTTTTTTTTTAATTATAAAATAATGAAAATAATAGAAGGAAATGTGAATTGTAATTATTTTGTTAATTGAGACTTTAATTTT